TTCCCTATCTACCCCTTATTGGTTTCTGTTTGGCAGTGGGATATCCCTAGTGTTCCCTATCTACCCCTTATTGGTTTCTGTTTGGCAGTAGGATATCCCTTGTGTTCCCTATCTACCCTTTATTAGTTTCTGTTTGGCAGTAGGATATCCCTTGTGTTCCCCATCTACCCCTTATTGGTTACGGTTTGGCAGTAGGATATCCCTAGTGTTCCCTATCTACCCCTTATTGGTTTCTGTTTGGCAGTAGGATATCCCTAGTGTTCCCTATCTACCCCTTATTGGTTTCTGTTTGGCAGTAGGATATCCCTTGTGTTCCCCATCTACCCCTTATTGGTTTCTGTTTGGCAGTAGGATATCCCTAGTGTTCCCTATCTACCCCTTATTGGTTTCTGTTTGGCAGTAGGATATCCCTAGTGTTCCCCATCTACCCCTTATTGGTTTCTGTTTGGCAGTAGGATATCCCTTGTGTTCCCCATCTACCCCTTATTGGTTTCTGTTTGGCAGTAGGATATCCCTAGTGTTCCCTATCTACCCCTTATTGGTTTCTGTTTGGCAGTAGGATATCCCTTGTGTTCCCTATCTACCCCTTATTGGTTTCTGTTTGGCAGTAGGATATCCCTTGTGTTCCCCTCTACCCCTTATTGGTTTCTGTTTGGCAGTAGGATATCCCTAGTGTTCCCCATCTACCCCTTATTGGTTTCTGTTTGGCAGTAGGATATCCCTAGTGTTCCCATCTACCCCTTATTGGTTTCTGTTTGGCAGTAGGATATCCCTAGTGTTCCCCATCTACCCCTTATTGGTTTCTGTTTGGCAGTAGGATATCCCTTGTGTTCCCTCTCTACCCCTTATTGGTTTCTGTTTGGCAGTAGGATATCCCTAGTGTTCCCATCTACCCCTTATTGGTTTCTGTTTGGCAGAAGGATATCCCACTTTAGTGGAACGCTTTATGCTCATCTGTCCTACAGGGTTATACTCCTTACCTGGGATACAAACACTTTTTTCCTATTTAGGACCCTCTGTTAGATATAGTAGCTCTATTTTTAGTTTGAATAAAGGTTTTTTATTTTTGGTTTTGCTACTAATCAACTTTAGGTTGTACTATTTCCCATATGCCCCCTCTGTTGGAGTTTATGTCTGGGTTACTGTTCCTTTAATACACTATAATATAAACCAGCATTATATAATACACAGGTGGCTCCCTTTCTATGGAATAAGACCTACCTCCATTTGTCAGGATTACAAGTTGATCCAGCACGCAGTACTGTGTCACACTTAGGACTAAGGATAACGTATAACCGGACCTAACGTATCCAAGAATAGTCTGAATACTTGCTGAGGTCAGGGACACAGAATCAGACACAACAATGAGGGAAAGCCAAAAGTCAAGGATACCAAATACCAGGGAAGTCAAAACAAAGCCAAAGACAAATACCAGAAAAACAAGATCAGGAACGCACTCTCGGATAACCATAGGCATGAAACCACGACAGGGCACTGAGCAAGAGGGTAATTGGGTTTAAATACCCCTCCTGTGGATCCGATTGGCTGTAACCGGCCTTTGACCCCAAAGGCAATTACCAGGTTTCCATGTGCATGATTGCTGCTCGGCACAAATTTTCCTGTCAGGACAGTAAATGCTATTAACCACATTTTTATGTGTGGATGAATACGTGACACAATCAGACTCTCCCCTAGTTTTCAATCCTTTACGAAGTGCCTTAAAACCCATCTCTTTAGGAAAGCTTATGGCTTCCCAGAGTAACCTCTACCTCACATACCTGTCTCTTGCTCTCTCCTACAGGGCAGCACTCTATTCTCTCCTCCAGCTCTGCTTCACTCCCAACTTATTTGATTGCTATTTCCTGTCCTAATGTGTTTTTACCCCACCTCCTATAGACTGTAAGCTTGTTTGACCAGTGTCCTCTGCAACCTATCGTTTCTGAAAGTTTTCTATTAATTGTCCAATTTATAGTTAAATCCCCTCTCTCATAATATTGTAAAGCGCGACGGAATCTGTTGGCGCTATATAAATTGCGATAATAATATGTATGTCACTGTATAACACACTATAATATAAACCAGCATTATATAATACAATGTATATAGCACACAGCAATATGTCCTCAATGAAATACACTGACAATCTCAAACATTACTTTAAATCTACCAACACAAACTACCTCCATCTATATTAGAACAAGGAACCTACCGACAACATCACACAACCAACACAAACTACCTCCATCTATATTAGAACAAGGAACCTACCGACAACATCACACAACCAACACAAACTACCTCCATCTATATCAGAACAAGGAACCTACCGACATCACACAACCAACACAAACTACCTCCATCTATACTAGAACAAGGAACCTACCGACAACATCACACAACCAACACAAACTACCTCCATCTATATTAGAACAAGGAACCTACCGACAACATCACACACCCAACACAAACTACCTCCATCTATATTAGAACAAGGAACCTACTGACAACATCACACACCCAACACAAACGACCTCCATCTATATTAGAACAACGAACCTACCGACATCACACAACCAACACAAACTACCTCCATCTATATTAGAACAAGGAACCTACCAACAACATCACACAACCAACACAAACTACCTCCATCTATACTAGAACAAGGAACCTACTGACATAACACAACCAACACAAACTACCTCCATCTATACTAGAACAAGGAACCTACTGACAACATCACACAACTAACACAAACTACCTCCATCTATACTAGAACAAGGAACCTACCAACAACATCACACAACCAACACAAACTACCTCCATCTATACTAGAACAAGGAACCTACTGACATCACACAACCAACACAAACTGCCTCCATCTATATTAGAACAAGGAACCTACCGACAACATCACACAACCAACACAAACTACCTCCATCTATACTAGAACAAGGAACCTACTGACATCACACAACCAACACAAACTACCTCCATCTATACTAGAACAAGGAACCTACCAACATCACACAACCAACACAAACTACCTCCATCTATATTAGAACAAGGAACCTACTGACAACATCACACAACCAACACAAACTACCTCCATCTATATTAGAACAAGGAACCTACTGACAACATCACACAACCAACATAAACTACCTCCATCTATATTAGAACAAGGAACCTACTGACAACATCACACAACCAACACAAACTACCTCCATCTATATTAGAACAAAGAACCTACCAACAACATCAGACAACCAACACAAACTACCTCCATCTATATTAGAACAAGGAACCTACTGACAACATCACACAACCAACACAAACTGCCTCCATCTTAATTAGAACAACGAACTTACCAACATCACACAACCAACACAAACTACCTCCATCTATACTAGAACAAGGAACCTACCGACAACATCACACAACCAACACAAACTACCTCCATCTATACTAGAACAACGAACCTACCAACATCACACAACCAACACAAACTACCTCCATGTATACTAGAACAAGGAACCTACCAACAACATCACACAACCAACACAAACTACCTCCATCTATATTAGAACAAGGAACCTACCAACAACATCACACAACCAACACAAACTACCTCCATCTATACTAGAACAAGGAACCTACCAACAACATCACACAACCAACACAAACTACCTCCATCTATATTAGAACAAGGAACCTACCAACAACATCACACAACCAACACAAACTACCTCCATCTATACTAGAACAAGGAACCTACTGACATCACACAACTAACACAAACTACCTCCATCTATACTAGAACAAGGAACCTACTGACATCACACAACCAACAAACTGCCTCCATCTATATTAGAACAAGGAACCTACCGACAACATCACACAACCAACACAAACTACCTCCATCTATACTAGAACAAGGAACCTACCGACAACATCACACAACTAACACAAACTACCTCCATCTATATTAGAACAAGGAACCTACCAACAACATCACACAACTTCTTCATTACCTCCACCCATCTATACTAGAACAAAGGAGGAACCTACTGATATCACACAACCAACACAAACTGCCTCCATCTATATTAGAACAAGGAACCTACCGGCAGCATCACCACAACCAACGCAAAGGCCCCTCCATCTATACTAGAACAAGGAACCTACCGACAACATCACACAACCAACACAAACTACCTCCATCTATATTAGAACAAGGAACCTACCAACAACATCGCACAACCAACACAAACTACCTCCATCTATACTAGAACAAGGAATCTACTGACAACAACACACAACCAACACAAACTACCTCCATCTATATTAGAACAAGGAACCTACCGACAACAACACACAACCAACACAAACTACCTCCATCTATACTAGAACAAGGAACCTACCGACAACATCACACAACCAACACAAACTACCTCCATCTATATTAGAACAAGGAACCTACCGACAACATCACACAACCAACACAAACTACCTCCATCTATATTAGAACAAGGAACCTACCAACATCACACAACCAACACATACTACCTCCATCTATACTAGAACAAGGAACCTACTGACAACATCACACAACCAACACAAACTACATCCATCTATATTAGAACAAGGAACCTACCAACATCACACAACCAACACAAACTACCTCCATCTATACTAGAACAAGGAACCTACCGACAACATCACACACCCAACACAAACTACCTCCATCTATACTAGAACAAGGAACCTACCAACAACATCACACAACCAACACAAACTACCTCCATCTATACTAGAACAAGGAACCTACTGACAACATCACACAACCAACACAAACTACCTCCATCTATACTAGAACAAGGAACCTACCAACATCACACACCCAACACAAACTACCTCCATCTATACTAGAACAAGGAACCTACCAACAACATCACACAACCAACACAAACTACCTCCATCTATACTAGAACAAGGAATCTACCAACATCATCACACACCCAACACAAACTACCTCCATCTATATTAGAACAAGGAACCTACCAACATCACACAACCAACACAAACTACCTCCATCTACACTAGAACAAGGAACCTACCGACAACATCACACACCCAACACAAACTACCTCCATCTATACTAGAACAAGGAACCTACCAACAACATCACACAACCAACACAAACTACCTCCATCTATACTAGAACAAGGAACCTACTGACAACATCACACAACCAACACAAACTACCTCCATCTATATTAGAACAAGGAACCTACTGTCAACATCACACAACCAACACAAACTACCGCCATCTATATTAGAACAAGGAACCTACCAACAACATCACACAACCAACACAAACTACCTCCATCTATATTAGAACAAGGAACCTACCGACAACATCACACAACCAACACAAACTGCCTCCATCTATATTAGAACATGGAGACTGCCAACATCACACAACCAACACAAACTACCTCCATCTATACTAGAACAAGGAACCTACTGACATCACACAACCAACACAAACTACCTCCATCTATACTAGAACAAGGAACCTACTGACAACATCACACAACTAACACAAACTACCTCCATCTATATTAGAACAAGGAACCTACCAACAACATCACACAACCAACACAAACTACCTCCATCTATACTAGAACAAGGAACCTACTGACATCACACAACCAACACAAACTACCTCCATCTATATTAGAACAAGGAACCTACCAACATCACACAACCAACACAAACTACCTCCATCTATACTAGAACAAGGAACCTACCAACAACATCACACACCAAACACAAACTACCTCCATCTATATTAGAACAAGGAACCTACCGACAACATCACACAACCAACACAAACTACCTCCATGTATACTAGAACAAGGAACCTACCAACAACATCACACAACCAACACAAACTACCTCCATCTATACTAGAACAAGGAACCTACCAACAACATCGCACAACCAACACAAACTACCTCCTTCTATACTAGAACAAGGAACCTACCAACAACACATCACACAACCAACACAAACTACCTCCATCTATATTAGAACAAGGAACCTACCGACAACAACACACAACCAACACAAACTACCTCCATCTATACTAGAACAAGGAACCTACCGACAACATCACACAACCAACACAAACTACCTCCATCTATATTAGAACAAGGAACCTACCGACAACAACACACAACCAACACAAACTACCTCCATCTATATTAGAACAAGGAACCTACCGACATCACACAACCAACACAAACTACCTCCATCTATACTAGAACAAGGAACCTACCAACAACATCACACAACCAACACAAACTACCTCCATGTATACTAGAACAAGGAACCTACCAACAACATCACACAACCAACACAAACTACCTCCATCTATATTAGAACAAGGAACCTACCGACAACAACACACAACCAACACAAACTACCTCCATCTATATTAGAACAAGGAACCTACCAACATCACACAACCAACACAAACTACCTCCATCTATATTAGAACAAGGAACCTACCAACATCACACAACCAACACAAACTACCTCCATGTATACTAGAACAAGGAACCTACTGACAACATCACACAACCAACACAAACTACCTCCATCTATACTAGAACAAGGAACCTACCGACAACATCACACAACTAACACAAACTACCTCCATCTATATTAGAACAAGGAACCTACCAACAACATCACACAACCAACACAAACTGCCTCCATCTATATTAGAACAACGAACCTACCGACAACATCACACAACTAACACAAACTACCTCCATCTATACTAGAACAAGGAACCTACTGACATCACACAACTAACACAAACTACCTCCATCTATACTAGAACAAGGAACCTACTGACATCACACAGCCAACACAAACTGCCTCCATCTATATTAGAACAAGGAACCTATCGACAACATCACACAACCAACAAAAACTACCTCCATCTATACTAGAACAAGGAACCTACCGACAACATCACACAACTAACACAAACTGCCTCCATCTATATTAGAACAAGGAACCTACCGACAACATCACACAACCAACACAAACTACCTCCATCTATACTAGAACAAGGAACCTACCAACAACATCACACAACCAACACAAACTGCCTCCATCTATATTAGAACAAGGAACCTACCGACAACATCACACAACTAACACAAACTACCTCCATCTATACTAGAACAAGGAACCTACCGACAACATCACACAACCAACACAAACTACCTCCATCTATACTAGAACAAGGAACCTACCAACATCACACAACCAACACAAACTACCTCCATCTATATTAGAACAAGGAACCTACCAACATCACACAACACAAACTACCTCCATCTATATTAGAACAAGGAACCTACCGACAACATCACACACCCAACACAAACTACCTCCATCTATATTAGAACAAGGAACCTACTGACAACATCACACAACCAACACAAACTACCTCCATCTATATTAGAACAAGGAACCTACCGACAACATCACACAACCAACACAAACTACCTCCATCTATACTAGAACAAGGAACCTACCAACATCATCACACAACCAACACAAACTACCTCCATCTATACTAGAACAAGGAATCTACTGACAACATCACACAACCAACACAAACTACCTCCATCTATATTAGAACAAGGAACCTACCGACAACATCACACAACCAACACAAACTACCTCCATCTATACTAGAACAAGGAACCTACCGACAACATCACACAACCAACACAAACTACCTCCATCTATACTAGAACAAGGAACCTACCAACATCACACACCCAACACAAACTACCTCCATCTATACTAGAACAAGGAACCTACCAACATCATCACACAACCAACACAAACTACCTCCATCTATATTAGAACAAGGAACCTACTGACAACATCACACAACCAACACAAACTACCGCCATCTATATTAGAACAAGGAACCTACCGACATCACACAACCAACACAAACTACCTCCATCTATATTAGAACAAGGAACCTACCAACATCACACAACTAACACAAACTACCTCCATCTATATTAGAACAAGGAACCTACCGACAACATCACACAACCAACACAAACTGCTTCCATCTATATTAGAACATGGAGACTGCCAACATCACACAACCAACACAAACTACCTCCATCTATACTAGAACAAGGAACCTACTGACATCACACAACCAACACAAACTACCTCCATCTATACTAGAACAAGGAACCTACTGACAACACACACAACACAAACTACCTCCATCTATATTAGAACAAGGAACCTACCGACAACATCACACACCCAACACAAACTACCTCCATCTATATTAGAACAAGGAACCTACCGACAACATCACACACCCAACACAAACTACCTCCATCTATATTAGAACAAGGAACCTACCAACATCACACAACCAACACAAACTACCTCCATCTACCAACAACATCACACAACCAACACAAACTACCTCCATCTATACTAGAACAAGGAACCTACCAACAACATCACACAACCAACACAAACTACCTCCATCTATACTAGAACAAGGAACCTACTGACATCACACAACCAACACAAACTGCCTCCATCTATATTAGAACAAGGAACCTACCGACAACATCACACAACCAACACAAACTACCTCCATCTATACTAGAACAAGGAACCTACCGACAACATCACACAACTAACACAAACTACCTCCATCTATATTAGAACAAGGAACCTACCAACAACATCACACAACCAACACAAACTGCCTCCATCTATATTAGAACAACGAACCTACCGACAACATCACACAACTAACACAAACTACCTCCATCTATGCTAGAACAAGGAACCTACTGACATCCCACAACTAACACAAACTACCTCCATCTATACTAGAACAAGGAACCTACTGACATCACACAACCAACACAAACTACCTCCATCTATACTAGAACAAGGAATCTACCAACATCATCACACACCCAACACAAACTACCTCCATCTATATTAGAACAAGGAACCTACCAACATCACACAACCAACACAAACTACCTCCATCTATACTAGAACAAGGAACCTACTGACAACATCACACAACCAACACAAACTACATCCATCTATATTAGAACAAGGAACCTACCAACATCACACAACCAACACAAACTACCTCCATCTATACTAGAACAAGGAACCTACCGACAACATCACACACCCAACACAAACTACCTCCATCTATACTAGAACAAGGAACCTACCAACAACATCACACAACCAACACAAACTACCTCCATCTATACTAGAACAAGGAATCTACTGACAACATCACACAACCAACACAAACTACCTCCATCTATATTAGAACAAGGAACCTACTGACAACATCACACACCCAACACAAACTACCTCCATCTATATTAGAACAAGGAACCTACCAACATCACACAACCAACACAAACTACCTCCATATATACTAGAACAAGGAGCCTACTGACAACATCACACAACCAACACAAACTACATCCATCTATATTAGAACAAGGAACCTACCAACATCACACAACCAACACAAACTACCTCCATCTATACTAGAACAAGGAACCTACCAACATCATCACACAACCAACACAAACTACCTCCATCTATACTAGAAGAAGGAATCTACTGACAACATCACACAACCAACACAAACTACCTCCATCTATATTAGAACAAGGAACCTACTGACAACATCACACAACCAACACAAACTACCTCCATCTATATTAGAACAAGGAACCTACCAACAACATCACACACCCAACACAAACTACCTCCATCTATATTAGAACAAGGAACCTACTGACAACATCACACAACCAACACAAACTACCTCCATCTATATTAGAACAAGGAACCTACCGACAACATCACACAACCAACACAAACTACCTCCATCTATATAGAACAAGGAACCTACCAACAACATCACACAACCAACACAAACTACCTCCATCTATATTAGAACAAGGAACCTACCGACAACATCACACACCCAACACAAACTACCTCCATCTATATTAGAACAAGGAACCTACCAACAACATCACACAACCAACACAAACTACCTCCATCTATACTAGAACAAGGAACCTACCAACAACATCACACAACCAACACAAACTACCTCCATCTATATTAGAACAAGGAACCTACCGACAACATCACACACCCAACACAAACTACCTCCATCTATATTAGAACAAGGAACCTACCAACAACATCACACAACCAACACAAACTACCTCCATCTATATTAGAACAAGGAACCTACCAACATCACACAACTAACACAAACTACCTCCATCTATATTAGAACAAGGAACCTACCGACAACATCACACAACCAACACAAACTGCCTCCATCTATATTAGAACAAGGAGACTGCCAACATCACACAACCAACACAAACTACCTCCATCTATACTAGAACAAGGAACCTACTGACAACATCACACAACTTAACACAAACTACACTCCATCTATACTAGAACAAAAAGACACCACCAACACAACTGTCACACAGCCAACACAAACTACGCCTCCATCTATACTAGAACAAAGGAACCTGCACAGCAGCATCCCACAGCAACTAACACAGCTACACTCCATCTATACTAGAACAAAAGGAACCTACAAACAGCATCCCGCACAACCAACACAAAACTACCTCCATCTATATTAGAACAAGGAACCTACTGACAACATCACACAGCCAACACAAAGGAACCTACCAACAACATCACACAACCAACACAAACTACCTCCATCTATACTAGAACAAGGAACCTACTGACATAACACAACCAACACAAACTACCTCCATCTATACTAGAACAAGGAACCTACTGACAACATCACACAACTAACACAAACTACCTCCATCTATACTAGAACAAGGAACCTACCAACAACATCACACAACCAACACAAACTACCTCCATCTATACTAGAACAAGGAACCTACCAACAACATCACACAACCAACACAAACTACCTCCATCTATATTAGAACAAGGAACCTACCGACAACAACACACAACCAACACAAACTACCTCCATCTATACTAGAACAAGGAACCTACCGACAACATCACACAACCAACACAAACTACCTCCATCTATACTAGAACAAGGAACCTACTGACAACATCACACTACCAACACAAACTACCTCCATCTATACTAGAACAAGGAACCTACCAACATCACACAACCAACACAAACTACCTCCATCTATACTAGAACAACGAACCTACCAACATCACACAACCAACACAAACTACCTCCATGTATACTAGAACAAGGAACCTACCAACATCACACAACCAACACAAACTACCTCCATCTATATTAGAACAAGGAACCTACCGACAACATCACACAACCAACACAAACTACCTCCATCTATATTAGAACAAGGAACCTACCGACAACATCACACAACTAACACAAGCTACCTCCATCTATATTAGAACAAGGAACCTACCGACAACATCACACAACCAACACAAACTACCTCCATCTATACTAGAACAAGGAACCTACCAACAACATCACACAACCAACACAAACTACCTCCATGTATACTAGAACAAGGAACCTACCAACAACATCACACAACCAACACAAACTACCTCCATCTATATTAGAACAAGGAACCTACCGACAACAACACACAACCAACACAAACTACCTCCATCTATATTAGAACAAGGAACCTACCGACATCACACAACCAACACAAACTACCTCCATCTATATTAGAACAAGGAACCTACCAACATCACACAACCAACACAAACTACCTCCATGTATACTAGAACAAGGAACCTACTGACAACATCACACAACCAACACAAACTACCTCCATCTATACTAGAACAAGGAACCTACCGACAACATCACACAACTAACACAAACTACCTCCATCTATATTAGAACAAGGAACCTACCAACAACATCACACAACCAACACAAACTGCCTCCAT